CATCAGTTATCTGCTAGTGAAAGTCGCGTCAAAATCGGTCCAGCCGTTTCAGATATTACATGTAACATATAGACAGACTGCCAGACAGGGACAAAAATTGTGTTTTTGCTGTAAGTACCATACATACATATTTTCATACGCATTTGAAAAAAATCTGTACAAACAGACAATTTAATTTTATTTATTTGTAGGTATAGACTTTACATTAAGGACGTTACTCAATAATTATAACAGTTATAACTGTTACCAAAAATTAAAAATTGACTTCAAATTGCTAAGAAAGAAATTTATGTGCAACCCTTAGGGGTTGAATTTTTTATCCAAAGCTATACGGGACTACTCTTGAAGTATGACCTGTTTAAGAAAAAAAGAATCATTAAAATCGGTTCTTTATCTGCTAAGATATCATACGAAATTCCTTAAGCAATAGTATAATATGAAACTTTTTCCCCTATTCTCCCGCCGTAAAACTTCCGCCCCAGAGGGTGGTACCCTTGGGGGCTGAAATTTTTCATAAAAATTTTATGGAACCACCATTAAGGTAATGTCTATTTAATAAGAAAATAATTTTGTTTTTTGTTTTATTAAAATTGGTTCGCAATCTGCGAAGATATCACGTAACATACATATAAAAAAGAACACACTCGAATTGAGAACCTTCTTGTTTTTGAAGTCAGTTAAAAACCAATGTCAATTTAACAAATGCTTAGAGCTGCTCTCTCTCTCTCTCTTTTCACTAAATAACAATGAAAAGCGGCATATATAGAGATAAATAATATTTATAAGTGAGCGATAAATCTGTACTAGCGTCCGCCGTAAATTTCACAGCATTCGAGCAACTCTGTTTTGATCTCAGCTGGTAACAATGAAAATGCTACTGATTTTCCACGTGTTCTGCGGTGAAGAAAAACGTTGTGAGAAAATCTGCATCTCTGACTCTCTGAGGAATAAAAACATTTTAAAGACGTGTTGCGCCAATACTAAGCCAACAGGGCAGTCTAATCGGTCCATATTTTTTTATAAATATTTTAAAACATAAACTTCTATTACAGATAACTTAATCATCATGGACAGAACGCAGTTGAAACGAGCCGTTTGAAGAACCTTGTGGTTAGTGCAAAGCGTCCAAAAGTGATAATAAAACCGACGACGCGTGCGGAGTAAGAGTGGGGCGATGCCAGACACTCTCTCACTATCGACTGGGGTCAGCCTCGGCCTACTTGCCGGGATCGTGTCCGGAGTATGCTATCTCGTGGCAAATGGACTGACCTGGCCCAAGTAAGTTTATCATACATTATTTAAGTTTTTTAATTAACAAATCTAACGGTTGAAACAGTTTTTAAAGGTGTCTGCGTAAAAAGTGTACGGAATAAAGAAAAGCTTAATACCATATGTCACTCATATAATTAAGAATATAAAATACGAACGGCTACAGGCTACAGACCGTGCCAAAGAGATAGACATACATACGTACATACATTACCCTCTTTCTGGGAGAGTCGGGTTAAAAGAAAACAAAGTGTTTTAGGGACGACGTAAGAGGCGACTATGTGATATACCAGAAAAATGTAATGGCTGCCGATAGGCATTCATGACGTTTGATTCTTCGGCATCTCTTCGTGTCGACTATGGCAAATCTTGCCAGAAAGTTCCATGACCAGTGGTGCCTTTTGCGAGCCGATGAAGATGATGGCAAAGATATCCTGATAATGATAAATATACCTACATATTGTGCATGCCTACGACTGCCTCGTTAATCTAGTGGTTGTAGTAGTGCAACTGGTGATCACGAGGTCCCGGGTCATCGGGTCGGGCCAAAAAAATCAGTTATTGAATTTTCCATCACGAAATTTCTCAGTGCTGCCCGGAATCAGGATGTTGGTGGTGTCTCAATCCCGTGCCGCGGAAAGCACGTAGAGCCGTTGGTCCTGCGCCTGATCTCTCTCCGGTCGTGCCCGTTTACCGTCCCATCGGACTATGAGAGTGCGGGAATAGAAAGTGCATCCGTGCTTACGCATATACTTGGACGCTATGGGTAATCCTTTACAGAACTTGGGTCTGGAGGACTATATTATTATTACTGCACATACGAAGTAAATCGAAATCATGTTCGATTTCGACATGTTTCGGTTTATAGTCACTTTCAGATTATGGTTTATAATCCCAGCTTATCGTACTCTCGGGCGCTTCAGAACCATGCTAATTGTGCTATTGAATTCAGTGTAAACTATAAGCAAGACTGATTAGCTAACTGTTCTAAGACACTCTTTTATATTATAAAATACAGTTTTAAAGTAATTAAAAATACATTTTTTTTTTTTTAAAAAAAAAATATTCGATATGGAAGGCCAAAAATTAAGACAGTTTTGATAGTACGTAACGGTGACATCTGTGGACAGAAATGTAAACTACCTCTTGATGTTTGTAATTTAAAGTGCATTCAAGTTATAGAAATTTACTTTAGATGGCGCTTTTAGAATGATTTAAAATACTAGTGGTATAATTATGATTATTCGTATAATATATTTTATTACGAAAGCTGCGGCATTAAAAAAATCTATTCATCATACTTTCGGTGTCGTAAGAGTTAACACGAAAAATCTAAGCTTATGGTTTCCACTTTCCTACATGGCAGTTTGGCTATCTCGTTTGCGTTATGTAGGTACCAAATAAACGATCTCGTTATGGAGTTTAGTACTTCTACACTCCATAGATCTCAGAACAGCAGTAGAAATGAGGAGAAGTGTCAAAGGTATGTTAACAACAAGCCTCAAGCAGTGAAATGAGCTATGGAAAGATGCAGATATTATCTACACTATACTGAATTTAGGAACTTATATAGGATTAGGATTCAAAAAAAGAAAAAATGTAATTACTAGTAAGATTCTTAGACCAGTTAAGATTCTAGTTGGCCCGAAAATCCTTGTACTTATAATAAATACTACTCGTCGAAATAGGGCCGCACATTTTTATTTTTAATAATTATATTAGAAAGTAGCAGGCTCTATTCTTGAAATTAAATAACAATAAAGACATACGAGTACTCTTTAAACTGTGCTAGAACATCTTGTTTAATTTCCCTGCAATCTGTAATATGACGTCAATGCGTAAAGTACATTGTATATAGGTAAGGTCAATGGAGGCTATTGCAACTAAAAAAAATAAAATTTTTACCTTTTGCTAAAAATGTCCACCTTATTTTATTGGATTGATATATTGAAACTATAATATTAAGAAGGCATATAACGGAGATTCGTATCGACCTATAATAATGTCAAAAAGCTGTAAGATTTACACAAAATCTTAATATTAACCCATGCCGGCAGAAAAAGTCGCATTAGCCCCATGTTGGGGTAAATGCAACTGTTTAAAATAACTTATTCGTTTTTGTAGCGTATGTGCTCAGAATCAGAGGCATGATCCTCCAGCGTGAAATTTTCGCAAAAATGATCTCTAAGTTGCACCGGTCAAGCCCTGATACGACTAAAAGTATATTTTGTATTTTTGGGGGCTAATGTGACTATTTTCTATAGGATTAGTGCTGTGTTGGCGTAAAAAATATCGACAAATTGTAAAAAAGTGTAGGTAATCGATAATATGATGGGTGACTAAGTGAAATAAAACTATGCATTGTTTTTAATTTATATTTATTTGACTTCACTTTATACTAAATCAACGGCACATATAAATCACATCTTATAAGAGGATAAAAAATTTCAACGGGAAATATTTATCAAATTTTCCTATGAGGACTTTTGCTTATTGAAAAAACAGATATAAAAATAACTACTTTAGCTTAACATCACTTTGTGTTTCAATCGATGGAACATAATATTCATCACATTTTTAGAGGACTTTATGAATAATTTGGAAAAAAAAAGATGTAAAAATAACATACGCATTAGCAGTTAGTAATCATCACTGTGTTTCAATCAATGGCACATATTAATCAAATTTTTAATGTTTAAATACAAGAATATTATACTTAATATAATACTAAATCAAACCGAATCACTTCACTATTAAATCAATTGCACATATTTATCACATTTATTTATGAGGACTATGAACTTAATTAAATTAAATACTAAATCAATGGAAAATATTTATCAAATTTTCCTATGAGAACATTTTGCTTAATTGATAAAAAAAAGATATAAAACAACATACTTCAGCTTAACATCACGTCGTGTTTCAATCAATGGCACATTTTTACTAAAAAGTTTAATTTAGACTTTATGCTTAATTATTATTATTTATACAAACAAGACAAAAATTATACTTCGTACACATCAATATTGTATGGAAACTTAAACAATTCTGCATCTAAGTTCTCTGGTTGTGGAAGATAAGTAACTACGTCATCGAAATCAATAATTGAGATATCATCTTCGATTATTCGAAACGTGTTCTTTCGTTTGTATGACTTGAGCCCTGTAACTACAATTTTGGTATCTGAGACTTCTTGTACACGACATACGTATTTGTAAGTCTTTTTGCCCCGCGTGGAACTAAATTTCGCTAAAACAAAAGTGCCTTCATTTGGGACATCTGAGACTAGAGATTCTTCCGAAAATGATGGCATATCTTTAGACGTAGTTGCCAATTCCATTAAATTAGATGAAGTTTCTATAGAAGCTGGTAATTCTATCGAAGCAGATGCCATTTCCGTCGAAGTAGATGCAATTTCAGAAACTTGCTTACAAGTTTCGTTAATGTCAATATCGTCGGAAAGTTCTGTAGTTAGTAAGGTTTCCCAAAAAGTGCTAATATTTTTTTTGCGTCTTCATCTGATGAATCATCTAATTGATAGGAACAACTGCTGTTACTGTCAGTTTCATGGTTCTTTTTAATTTTATTGTTTCTTAGGCCTCTCTTTTTTTTATTTTGTTTTTCAATTTTTGTTTTTTCATCTCTTTTAGGTTGATTTTCTTTTTTTGTTTTCTTTACTCTTTTTTCTTCTTGTTCCTTTTCCATTCTCTCAATAACTTCCTTATAAGTTAGTATTTCCGCTCCCCCTTGTCACACGCGTTTTTTTTATTTTTTGGAGGATCATTGCGAGCAATTGAATTTAACAGAAGTTCTTCAAATGATACGTTAAAGTTGTCTTCATTTATCTGGTTAGTGGTATTTGCTGCCTGAATTAACTCGTTTCCGACAATTTGAATGTTATTTGAATTAGTTTTTTTTCTTTTTGGACTTGGAAGTGGTAGTTTATATGTACGAGGATCTTCTACGGTCTTTGGATACATGATTCTTTTTTGTTTTTCCTTTTCCAGAGTTATTTCAGTTTTGTTACTCAATTCTGTTATAGCTGTGTCATTCTGAATTTTCTTACTTTTTTCATAGGTTCTTATTTCTGTACTTGTTTCTTTTTTAACTCTTAGTATTTTATTTATTTCATTTTTTTTAGTTCTATTATTCTGTTCATGATATTGTATTGAATTATTCTGTTGTTGTCTTTCGTAACTTATCATGTTCTCTTTATTTTGAATCTTGTTTTCCGTTTGTTTTGAATCTTTACAATATGTAAGGCTTTTATGGTCTGGTTGAGAGTTTAAAGTTTTAAGTGCCAATCTAACGAGAGTTGGAACGTTTTTAAGAGGTATGTCGACCAATTTTTCAAATGGTGCTCGAATGGCTTCACTAACATCTTCGACGTAGTTGTCTTGCTCGTATGTTTGACTTTGAACATACTGCTCCCATCTAGACCAAGTTAAGGGATCAAACTTTTCTTTTGGGATCACGTGCCGATTTAAGGGATAAATACCTGTTTTATTAAATCCATTGGCTAGAATAACAGGATTCATAACATCCCATATTTCAGTAATAATTCGTGCGAACTCACTTTTGGGTAACTTTGCTCCGATATGAAGCCTTTGCCATTTAACCAAGGCTTCTTCCCATCGATCCTTCATGGGCTTCATTCCACTTACATCTAGCGGTTGAAGGATATGTGAAGAATGCGGGGGTAACTTCAAAATGGTAACATTTTCGGAAATGGCGAGTTCGATTACTTTTAAATCGACATGTGTGGAGTGGCCATCATAAATTGCAGAATGGTGCTCTTTGGAGTAAAAATACATTTTTAAAATATTTTTCGAAAATTGATGTTTCCATCCAGCCCTTTTGGCTTACAGCATATGCTGTTTTCACACTATCATTTTTGTAACACCACTCGTTCCACAAGTATTTTCCTTAAAAAATTATGAGTGGTGGGACTTTATCGCCGCGTGCATTAGTTGCCAATAGGACAGTTGTGTTATCACGGCTGGGGGGAGCTAGTTGTCCTGGTAGAACTATACCCTCTTTGGCCAAGCACTTTACTATTGGAAGGATCGTTGCAAAAACTGGTTTCATCTAGATTATAGATGCATTCAGGTTTCTCGGCCAGATCCAAATCATTTATGGCATTTTCCAATAAATCAAAGTATTCATATACGGTGAACGGGTTGCAAGCTTTCCTTCTAGCTATTTCGACTGACTGTGGTTTTTTTAATGTAGATTATTTCTTTTGCAAAAGCGCTGAAACCAATCATCTCCAGGAATATTATCCTTAAATGGAGTTATCCACCCATTTCTTACAACGTATTCCGAAACCAATGTTTTAACTTCCTTTTTAGTTAGAGGAAAGCCATACTTTTCTAAAGTATGCAGATACGAAGCTATCTTGCACTCAATATCAATTGAAAATACTGTCTTCATTCCAGCATTCACCTGCTTCTGGCCACGTGTGCCATATAAATGCGAAATTATAGTAGATCTCGGAATATTAAAGTTTTTTGCTGCCTCGTAGCTATTTAACGTTTTGTTTTTAACTAACTCGAGTGCCTCGAGAAGCTTTTCTTTTGAGTAGCTCTTTTCTTTTTTTCTTAATATAATTTCGGACCATCTAAAACAAGTGAAATAAATGAGAACACACTTTTAAACAAAAAAAAATGATAAAAAAAACGATAGAGTATTACGGTGGGGGCAGTGCAATGCATTACCCTTTATTTAAGCAATTTACTCAGCTCCCGAATGCATTCAGATCGTGCTGTAACTGTATCGATTTATTATTGACATTCGACATCACTAGCATATTTATTTTTATACAAACACAAAGGGGCTATTGTAACTAAAATAACTAGACACAATAGCCCCACAACGCGGTAAATTGAGGCTAATGTAACTATTACATTATCTTACGATTTAAAGGATCTAACGTTGTAAAAATAAGTTTATAGAGTACTTACCGTTAGTTTTTCTAAGTTGTTGCATAAACCCTTGCTTAAAATGCACGATAAGTATTTTTTTGGTTGAAAGTTGATGAGACGCTCTCCAACAAACACGAGATTAAAATGGCGACTAACAAAAAAGCTCTGGTAAATCAAACAGTTTCGATCCAAGTGATGCCATCTGTTTATGATACGTTAAACTATGATTTTTCTCCATGCCAATAGATGACATTGTATTTAAAAAAACATAGAATAGAAGATATCGCTCTTGGTTGCTTTAGCCCCATAGTTGCAATAGCCTCCATTGACCTTACGTTAGTGTTGATATTTCAAACGCGCTCAAAATTGCCCGAAAGCAGTTTTGAATAATAATTTATTTTTTATATTTACGCATTGAGTAAGTTATTATCGCGTTGCCACCTGACAGCTTTCGAACCGGTGCACAGGCGTTTCACGCACTTGGGGGCGTTCATCAATTACGTGTGGTAATTTTGAAGATTTTTCTACCCTCCCCCTCCCCCTGGTGAGATCTTGTAACATATGACTTAACCCCTTCCCCCCTCCCCCAATCGGAAGTAAGAATTTTTCAAAATGCGTATTTTTGGTATAATTTGCTTAGTTATTTTCCTAGAATTTGTGGAGTTCGCATAAACGCGATAAATATTATTGTGTAGGCTTTAGCCATATTTTACTTTTACTTGATATTTTCTGAGCTCTCCCTCTTCCCCACGTGAGATTGAGTGAGATACCCCCCCCCCTAACCACCTCTTGTGATTATTTGACTTCCCTTATTGGTGATCCCAATTTGGTAAAAATTAATCTTATCCGTCTCGAGCACAGGCGCTAAGTAGTCAGCCTATCAGCATTTTAGAAATGTGCCCAAGCATGAGGTAATTCCTCTCTCACCATTTAAAATAAGTCGCGTGGCGTGTCTCTAAACATTTTAGCCGCACGGTTTGTTCGTCGTTCATAATACGTACATAGCAAAGAAGTGAAACAAGTTGAGAAAAATAAAATAATTTATTTTTAGTATGGCAGTAGTTTTGAATTGTTTTTGGGGAAAATATTTGTAATCACAGCAGGGTCGTCACGGTTGAGAACAGTTTACAAACGTAACGCTCTGTTGTAATATGGTATAGAGATCGCACACGGATGTGACGAAATGAACAATGCTCGATCATATCTATGAATTTAAACCCAGCTGTCATTCAGATTGGATCTCATCGCCCATATCATCAAAACTCTTACTACTAGTTCAGCACGGTATCGTCGGGATGTTCATAGCAGTCTTATCAAATGGTCTTATTAGTAAAACTACTGAGAACTTTCTTACCAAGTACTACCTCGCCTCGTAGAGCTAACTGGTAAGACCACCAGGGTAGTAGATATTCAGTAGTCCACTAAAACATTTTCAACAGTACCAACTACTTAATTTTATTTTTGTCTTACATTTCATGATACCTAACGTTATTTTCGGCCTATTTTGACTGGTTCGCTTTTTATAAGCAGGATAAGTACTAGGCAAACATATATGTAAAAGAGTTCTTCAGTCCGTATTTCGGTGACGGGGACCAGTGACAACGGAACCAATTAATGCAGGACAGACTTATAGTGCGAGAGTGTGCGAATGAGGAAATAGAGAGATCACCTGCGAAAACGCAAGCGCAAGTGATCTCTCTATTTCCTCAGTCTCATAGTTTGATGGGACGATAATCCGACACGGGCGGAGAGAGATCTGGAGCAGAACCAACAGGCGTACTTAGGTACGTGTTTTCTGACTCCGTGGTGCTACTGAGAATTGTAACTGAGAATTTTAACAGAAAATCCCAGTAAGAACCTCTGATTTTTGGCCAGTATCAGGATTCGAACCCAAAATCAAATATTTACATTTACCTTGACCTGGTAAAGAATCTCTTTTCAGAAATGTGTATTAATTTAATCCGAAGGGATATGTTCTGGGTCTAATAAGAAGATTATCTAACCACTAGATCTATTTGGTTTGTTAATATTATATTTTTGTCTCAGAAAGTATCACGCGTACAGAAGTCAGAATATTATTAACTATTGTCTCAAAATAATAAAAGAAATGGTTACGTTTAATTCTTTTTCTTTATATACTTTTAAGACGACACATCGAAAACGCTATCGCCGTACTGATCCGAGTGAATACATAATTTCTATAAAAACTTGAAGAAACGCCGTCATAAGGTCTAAAATTGCGTAGCGCCTGCGACGATTAAAAGCGTCTGGAAATTGTCAGAATCTTAAAATATTTTTTTTAAAATTATTGATTTAAGTTATCAAAATAATGAGCAAGTAAATTATGAATAGTAATGTTATGAAAACATTTGAGTGATTCCCAAGCATATAGATTAAATGATTTCGTTGTAATTTCAACTATAGTGATTTTTTAGAGGTGTTTTCGCAAATAATTATGATCGAGTCAAAATTATACAATCGTGTTTTTGAACAATCAAATTCAAGATAAAGACATGAATTTACCTATATCAAAATCCCACTTTCGTTAGTGATGTCATAGTCCTATACTATTCGATGAAAGGTGCATTTTTTCACGGTGTCGCCTTAACTAGCTGTTCCTCGCAACTTCTCCCGCGTGGAAATTATTTCGATTGTATTTCATGGTTTTTATTTTTTTGGCATGGAACCCTTATTCTTTTTCTAAAATAAAAGTAGCCGAAGATACAACTTATAACATCAGCTATCTGCCAGTAAAAGTCCCGTCAAAATTGGTCCAACCGTTTCGGAAATTAGCCGGAACAAACACACAGACGGATGAACGGATGGACAGACAGACAGATAACAATATTAAAAATTGTTTTTGTTATAAGTTCCGTATATACTTTCATATGGATTTAGTAAAAAGTGGTTATTTTGACATTACAAACTGACACTTCAATTATATTTACTTGTATAGATGAGTCAAAAGTATATGCAATTGGGATTTTTCAAAAACGGACTTATTACACTACTGCTACGCTACTATTCAAACATTTAAAAATTCATAACTCCGAAAATATTAACTTTATCGTAAGAAGTCATAGGACCTTTTTTATTCCTATTTCATCGAAAAAATATAAAAAAATCTTTCATATTTTACTATTTTTCTTTATACATTTTTAATGAGTCAAAAGTATCAGAATTGGGGATTTTTCAAAAAAAAATGAGGTGGAATAGTTTTCGGTAGTTAGTTTTCGGCTCATGCGCCGATTTCTCTTGGACTAGTATAAGGTTTAAAAAATATAAAGTGAAACTACCCTACTGCCTCTAGCAAGTTTATTTTGTTTATTTTATTTTTTTATTAGGCTCTCCAACAGTTATAACACAATACATTTGAATTAAAAAATACAATTTTTTTTATGCTACTATAACCTAATACAAGCGTAAGAATAATAGCAGCTTAATGCTGTTGAGCGTAGAGAATCGAAGACCCTTTTTACTGGAAAGTAGGCATTCCATCTTAGACCTCAGGGGTGGCAACACATCTGCATTTTGATCTTTAATCGAGGAGGAAGAGGAGATAGATGTAAATGTCTATGAGTCACAACATCCACTTAACAACAGGTGTGGACTGTGTTCTCGATTGTCACACTTATTCTATAAAAAAAGACAACTAAAGTACTAGTAAAAAAATCCATGTATTTTATAGAGTTAGACCACTGAGAATAGTTTTCGTGGTGTAAGTGTACTTTATGAAAATCATTCCAGTAGTTTTACTTATTAGGTACTTGGTAAGACTACTGAGAACATCCCGTATCTTCTTTAAAACGGCCCACTTATCTTCTCAATTATCATGTTCTACGCTTTCATGATGTTAAGCACATCAAACTAACCTAGATTATTGGTGCTAC